GGGGGGGGGGGGGGGGGTACTAGGGAGAACTGAGGTTTACTATGTTACAGTTATCCACCCCCCTTGGACCCCCTCCCTTAAGGATACGATAATCTTGGACAGCATGCTAAGTCGCTAGGTACTGTCGCAATGGCTTCTCTTGGAGGACCTGTAGTCAAGCTAATCCTCACAGACTACATGTACGATCCCGTCGAACCTCTTGTTTCGCGCACGACTCGTTCCCTTCCGACGAAACGACACTGCCGATACCGGCACTGTGAACCGGAAAAAACACCCGAGCCTCCAAGCATTCGGCCACCAGATCAAATTCAGCGCAGTTGAGTCCCCACCAGATACGGTGGTGCATGGGGCTGGCTCCGAAGCCTTGCGTGCTACGATTTGCTGCAGCTCATGCAGTCTTTGCTTGAAACTTAGCGCTTACAGTAACAAATCGCTCCCAACTCATCGTTGTTTACACTGACTGAAGTGCCGCCTCCAAGGTCGAAAATGCCGCAGTCGAGGCGGTCGTCATCATCTCGCCAGAAGTATGCGTTGTCAATGTTCAGGTTCTGATGTCCCAGCGCCACGAAGTCCGCATCCTTGAGCTTCCAGCACGTCAGCTCCTGTGAGTATGCGTTGAACGTCAGCATGGTGTTGAAGAACTTCTCTTGAAAGGCCTGTGTTGTTACATAGTCCGGATAAAGGAGCTTCGCCGTCTCTGAGAAGAACTTGATGGCCACCCGCAGTTGACCGGCAACTACTTGCACTGGGAATCCAGATGCCTTCTCAGGCTGCACAGTGTAAAAAGCAGCATCTTGGTACATGAGATTTTGTCTCAGAAAATCCTCGGTGCCCATCTTGCCTGTTTTATGTGCTGCAGCAATACGGGCATGCACTTTCATCAGGAGGCAGTAGTGCTCCTTGTCAGTTCCTCCCATCTCATGGTCTTTGCACTTGACGTAGGGGCCCTCAATCTGAAATCTTTCCAAGGGCGGCATACCACCGAAAGGCACACGCTCCGTGATGAGGATAAAGTTTGAGGACTCGTTGCTGATATCTCCAAAGTAGAACTTGGGAGTCTTCACAGGCATGGAAGCTTCTAAGAGACGATACGCATTGATCTCGTAGAAGTCCATAGGTTGCTTGTTCACAGAACTGCTCAAGCGATCACTGCTGGTTTGACCAGACAGTGGAAACGGAATCTTTGCGAACAGCTTGGTATGGAGGTCCGGTGTTTGCCACTTATACCTGCATTGCCAGCGTCGCTCTCAGCACTTCTAGATCAGCTTCATTCCACTGCACAGGCGACTCAAATTGTCGCATTTTGCACAGGAGCTCTGAGTCTTGCGAACAGCAACCTCTGAGGAGCACACCTCACCTCGAAGAGGAACCTGTGATGCAAAAGCTGCGTTTCTGTTCCGACGTCTCCCTCAGAAGCAGCCCCTGCAGTGCCCTCCAGATTCATGGTGGCCATACTGCTAATCCAGGAGCTTGCCGGCATTGTTTCCTGCCGTGACCTCCAGGATGCAGGAGTCCGACCAGTACTGTACACGACTTAACGAACATGCTACATATGAGACGGATATGTGGTAGAACATGTGAAGGCAGCATCAACCATGGACCATATCCGGCGGCAGTCAGACCACACATGAGGTTCACACTCCCTCGCAAACTAAGGATAACGTGTGCAGGCACAGAATGAGTGATGAGGTTTTGCTTGCCATCGGATTCCGTAGGTTTGTCAGGCACGGGATGGAATCTGATGCTGTGGCCCCCTCCATCTCCTGTTTAGATACCGCTTCAAACTCCCTGCAGACAAGGTGACACACACACACACACACTCCCTCTCAGCAGAAGGCAAACGGCCTTGACTTTCTTCTCCAGAAGAAGTTCCGTCACGGCGTTGTTTTCGTCGAGAGTTCCAGCCGCATGAAAGGCCTTCGGACGCTGCAATCCCACAAGATTACATCGGTGACTGTGCAGCAGCTATCCGGTATCATAGTACCGCAAGTCCTTTACACAGGTGGTCAATTCATGGCATGACAATCGTGCCTTGGTTAGCCATTGGGGGCCCATCTTCTCGAGTGTCTCCTCGGACCTCTCCAACTGCTCGCAAAGTGCGACTTGCTAGGTCTGTCGACTTCCGTTGCTACAGATGGATCATCTGCTGGTCTCAGTTCGGTGCCAGGGGAACTCCAGGTGATAGGTCATTCCCTTGCACATCTTTTCGTGCTTTTGTTGAACCTGTGCACCACCACAGCGGTACCGCGTGCTGTGGAAGATGGCAAACTTCTGCAATTCAGCGACAGGAGGACAAGAAATGACTGACAATCAATTCAATTTATCTGAAAACGTGCGAACCTGGCGGCTGACAAGCAAGCGGCATTCCTGCCTGCTCGTGTCCGATCCTCTGCCAAGTAATTACCGGCCTGGCAAGGATCGCACTCTCACAGCCACCCCCCTACCTTTACTCATGGGGTAAGGGATAAAACGTCAGGACTCTAGCGAAACATCATCTAGAAGGTGGAGGTTCCGCGTGTCTGCGCGGTGCCACCATGGAGGTTTGGCGAAACTTTCTTCGTACTAAGGTCCGTCCTACGTCGGCACCTCGCCAGCTCTTTGTGACAGCGTAGACGGATTCGCTCCTGCCATGAGTTCTGCGTACGGCTTGCGACCACAAGGCTTGTGTTTCGTTGCATCTTCAAGAACGTTCAGCAGGGGAGGGCGTGTAAACCGGGAAAGGCCTGATCTGCAAACCAAAGTTCGCAGATCCAGGCATGATTCCTCGCTGCCAGGCGGCCAGAACGGTCAAGTTTCTCAGTCTGGGCAGGAGAAGGGTCCAAGTGCGGTATCTGCGCACGGCACAGAGAGAGCTTGGCATCATGAGCATTGAGCCCAAGCTGTACGTGCAGGGAACAAAGCCGGCGACACTGCAAGGGGAAATGGTGTGGCGGCAAGACCATGCAAGCGGCAATAGTCACCCGTGTCCTCAGAAGACAGCGCATTCGCAGCTTCGATTGCCTTCAGCTCCTCCACACGGTCCTGCCGCAGAAAGCTAAACCGGGCTGAAGAGCTAAGTCCAGTACTTCGGCTTGCATAGTATGGTCAGCTGCGACTAGCAACACCAGGTTGCACTTTGCAAACATCCGCTCCTTCATGGTCACATTGATCCTTGCCTCAGAGCGGGCTACTGCTAAGTTATGCTGCTTCACAACGGCACGTGCACAGCTTCTTGTAGAGGCACCGACAGCCCTGTGGGCCAGCAACTTCTGATCCGCTGTGTTTATTCTCTGCCAGGAAACAGTGCCTGGAATCCGTCAGCAAAGAGTGCTCACTTCTTCGACGCATCTCAGTCAGACTAGAGCTTGCGGCTGGCTAAGCCAGGCACTCGTTTCCTCCAGAAATGCTGTAGTGCCATCTGCCTTTGCCACAGTTGCGCTGCGCTACAACAGCTTGCTGCTGTCTGCTCTCCTGCCTGGAAAATCACCGGCCCTCGCAGCGAATCAATCTGCACCTCAAGAGTTCTGAAGATGACACTAGGTCGTCATCACCTTACCCCATGCCAGATCGCACTTCAGCCAAGCCAAACAGGAAACGACGAAAGACCACTGCCTTCTCAAGGCATCCGTTGACATCCAGCTCGATGGTTCCACCTGCAGAAGCACACTGCTGTCAGTGAGCAAAAATAGGGCCGCTCTAACCTCCGCACAGCTGCGGCACTCTCCCTGCACCCTGCACTCGATAGCTGCCCCACCATAGCTGCCCCGCCAGGTCAGATGCTTTGGCGGTGCCTGGAGGCAGAGCAGGCCCAGGACCCCACGACAGACATGACCCCCGGACAGTCCACGACTTTGTGAGCTCAGCTGACCTTCGGATCCCTGATGCCATAGCAACGTTCACCGAAAGCTGCAGGAGCTCTGCCAAGATAAGCTCCTGTTCGGAACGACAGAATGCTGGCGATTCCAGCAGTGACCAGGGACCAGGAAAGGACGGGAGCGGTCTAAAGGAGACATTCTGCCTCCGCCTGCTCTCATGGCGCTGGGTCGTGCCACACATGGGAGCCTTGCCTGTATAATCTATAATTGAAACGTAGGTCTCGGCACTACGCAAACGCAAATGGCGTGCTTCTTCAACGTGGTTGCGGATGGCGTCCGCAGCCCGTGTTCTTCGCGCTTGATCTCTGAAAACATTGCAGTCTGTGCACCCTTGCCTGCGAAGGCAATCACAATTCGCAGCTCTAATGGCACTTCATGCGGCATTCGCAGCGATAAGTCATTTGATGTCATTTGGCATAGCGTGGCTTCCCGGTGCATCGCGGTCCGACCACTTCGACTTCACCCGCTCTTTTTCCGCTCAGCAGCTGAGACAGAGGCTATGTGACAGTGTCTGTTGGAGGGCACAAGGGTTTTTACGTAACTCCGCTTCGGGCCTCTTGCCGCTGCAAGTTTCTGCTATCCCTCATTGTTGTCCAAACCCGTGTGGTTCCTCCGCTGCGCAGTTCGCCAGACACCAGCTTTGCGGGCATCACCTCCCTGCGATCTTGCGGAATTAAAGCCATTAAATAAAAGTTTTAGCAGACTCTAGACAAACCCAGCGCACTCAAACAGCTCAATTGGTTCAGAAACATGGTCACAGTCGGTCGATCGACCGCAGGCTTCTGTGCGCTTAGAGAGATAGATCATTAGCTGTTTCTGTGCACTGCATGTGAGGGGCCAAGCGCCAACTGGATGCTATGCTCGCAGACTCCAGTGGGCCCTCGCGTGTCGGAGTCAAAGCTCAGAGCACGGAACTCCGAAACACCAGACTACCTGCGAGAGCGCACTCGAATCCATCTGTGCAGACGAATTCCGTGCAGTTCGGTGCAAAATTGAGGAAGTGTGCGTACGGATTTGGCACAGCTGTTGCTGATCCCTATGTTCACCGCCAGCCCTTCCCGGCGACACGAAGTCGGAAACTCGGAAGATCGGAAGCAGCCTGTGAACGGACAGGGTTTGGGCCCCTGCCTTGGCCTCAGGAAGAGCACAAGGCAAAGTCTTAGCCTTAGCCGTTGGCTCATTTGGGGTGCCAAGCTTAGGTTGTTGGCGTTGAGCTGAGGTTCACAGCTCCAAAAGGAATCTCGCAGCCTTCTCCACTCTATGCTACAGGCTGTCACAAGTGCAAACAGGCTGCAATTCAGGGACATGCATTTGGTCTCTGTGCTAGTGTGGCGAACCCTGCAAAGGCTCATCTGTAGATGCTGTACTATCGGAGCTGTAATCCTTGAATGGCCCTTCCGTTAGAGTTCCGAAGGTCATCTGATTGAATATAGATGGCGATGTAGGAGAGCTTTGTGCCCGAAGCATCCGCATGAAGTCGTCGAAGGTTACTTCACCGTCACCATCCACGTCCATCTTTTGGAAATACTGCCAGGCGCTCCGACAGTTCGGAACTTCGTGTAGGAGATCTGGATCTTGCAGGACGTGTTGCAAATCGGGATACGTGATTCGATTGTCGCCATCCCTGTCAAAAGCTTTGAAAGCTCGCCAACACAACTGCTCGTTCCTGTGAAGGCGCTGGTCCATTGCGGCAGCAATGAACTCGGTGTACTCCAGTCGGCCGTCTTGGTTATGATCCAAATTGTCCATGACCTCTGCCACGTTTAGCAACGGGCTGAGATCGACACTTTCTTGAAAACATGTCTTTAAATCCTCAAGTGTCACAAACCCGTCGCAGTCGCTGTCCAACCTCTGGAAAGTTTGGCGGATTTCTTCCTGCTCCTCATCGGTAAGTTGGTAGGCCGCCGCAGTCAAGGCGGCCTTTTTGAATCGGTTCTCTGTACTAAAAGCTTTCAAATTTGCCAGCAGATCTGGATGTAATGGCATCCCACTCGCTTCTGCAGGGCGCTGGAACCAGGGGTGATTCAGAGCATCTGCGGCGGTGATTCTTTTCTGCCGATCCTTGTTCAGGCACTGCTCAATGAGATTTTTTGCCACGTCTGACACTGGAGACCAGCGAGTGCCCCTCATCGAGAATTTGCCCCTCATTACTCTGTGCATGATTTCAGCATCTGACGAACCATGGAAGGGTGGCGATCCACTCAGCAGACAATACATCATCACACCGCAGCTCCAGATGTCACAAGCACGGTCGTACTGCTGCTGCAAGACTTCGGGTGCAACGTAGAGGATGGTTCCGAAGGCTGTGTGCATCAATTCTCCCGGTTCACAATGCTCGGCCAGTCCGAAATCGATCAGTTTCAGAGGATTCTTTTCTACAGGGGCATCACGCTTCTGCAAGATAAAGTTCTCCTAGGCATGCTGACCACCAAACGTTTCGAGCATTCATGAACCGCTATCCCTGCCCTAAACATCGAAAACAGCTGCAAATTTGGCGAAGCTGCTGGCTTCAAGTCCCGATGAACTATGTGCTTGTCATGACAATGTGCCACCGCACCAAAAACCTGTCGCATGATGGTCTGGACTGCTGGCTCTGTAAGATGGCTTTCCTCGATTAAGCGGTCGAAGAGCTCTCCACCTTCGCACAGCTCCATCACAAGGTAGATGCTCACGTTGTCCTCGTATGCGGCATAAAGCCTCACAATGCTGGGATGATCCATCTCACGAAGCATCTCGATCTCCTTGCGGACGTCATCCAGTGCGAAGGATTTTGCCTTGCCGAGCGGCTGAGCTAATTTGTGCTTCAGCATAGAGTTTAAGCTTTGCGGCTTCTTGCTAGGGGTGGTGGACGGCGACCCTACCCGTCCAGGACGAAGAGACAAAACAAATACCGGGCACATACAGCTCCATGTATGTTGAGGTGGAAAACTTCTCCCAACTAGGCAGCCTTGTCGATGCGCTTAACAGCCCGCATGGTGCCAAGCGATCGATCTCGGGCCTTGCGCACCGTGCCGAAGGCACCCTCGCCTAGAGTGGTGTCCTCCAGTTCGTAGCGGTCCCATATGCAGGCCTTCTGGGTGATGTCCGCCAGCGAAGTAGCATGAATGAGCCGTGATCTGACGCAGTCGCTCTTCGTACGCTGCCGCTTTAATGGAAGCATCGGGCGGCTTTCCGACGAAGGAGACGACCAAGGCGAGCCCGAAGGGAGCGAAGTCGAAGCATCATCTAAAACGGACCCTCTGGGCACCTCAGCGGCATGCACATCCAAGCCCGGCTCCCCGAAGCGGAGATGAATCCGCCCGCCGGGTCCGGAGGGCAGAGGTGAAGGCCAGCAACGATTCTGGCCTCCCTCCCACTCGATATTGCCATTCCGTCCTCAGATGAACGTCACTGCATCGCGCTGCTTTACATAGCCTATGCACTGAATTGCAAGTAACTTTTGGCTCCAAGAGTCGTTTCACTAGAAGCTTAAATTCCCCTGCGAGAGAGGCAGGGAGCTGCAGCTTCCATACTGGAAAGGACTCCTTCTGTGTGTAAAGCTTCAGAGCTCGTCCGACCTCCCAAGCGCCGAGAATCTCGTGCCCACCGCACAAGAAAAGCTCGTCGCCACAAGTCGTCCTTGAGCAAACAACCTCCAACGCACAAGGCGAATGCGCAGGCTGGCCAACCATGGTAATCAGGAGCACCCAATGGCCGGTCCAAGCTGCTCGAAATCTTGGCTCCGGAAAAAACCCTGTCACACACCTGCTTCTCTCTCGGGCTAAGCTGTTAGTATGTGCGGTGCGGCAGTTCCAAGAATGTTCTGTCAACCCTCGACATGGGACTGTGTGTGTGTGTGTGTGATTTTCGTACAAACGAAGCTTACATTGCTGCCCGTCGTCCTAAGACTCTGAAGCCCCATGGCCGTGCTTGCTGGAGCCTGGCAGTGCAAAGCACGGCTCAATCAACGCCAGCGACTCATCGAAGTCTTTCGATTCTTTTGTGCACGTCTATTGCACGTTCTATGCCAAAGCAGTTGCGCTGTCTTTCGCCAGAAGAGATGACTGCGCTTCCAGAAAATCTTGGCCACACCGAGGCCGATGCAACGTCTTGTTGCACTTCGACAGCCGGATGAGAACGGAATGGAGGCTGGCAGCACTACGACTACTGCACGCAGCCAGCATTTGGATGCCAATGCTGCTGCATGAACGCCCGACAAGGTCTGAGCCACTAGAATCAGCATGCGAGACTGACGGCATACTGCCACTCCGAATGGGGCCTACGCGTTAACTAACTAATTTTGCGGACTCTGAGACAGCTCAGTGGAAATGAGGGCACCCAATCCTTGGGAAGGCATTGCTCTGGCATAGATCGAAGATCGTGTCGGGGACTGTGGCTCCAGGACAGCTGTGGAGTGGAGCATATCCATAAACTCACTGAAGGAAATCAAGCCATTGCCTCAGCTGACACTAAAGCTCTCGTTCCCGCAGATCTACCGGTCGCAGTGCAGGTACAAGCAAAAAGGTGCCAGCTTAAGAAACTTCAATCGTATCCCAGTAGCTGTCTTTGTCAGTGGATTCGAAGATCTTCGCAAGGCTCTGGCCTTCGATCATCTTGCTTAGCTCATCACTTTCTATGACCTGCTGGAGCTCAGACATGGTGATCGCGCCACTGTCATCCTTGTCAAAGACCTTGAACGCTCGCCAACAAAGCTCTTCGTTCCCCTGCAATTGCTCATCCATGGCGGCGGCAATGAACTGAGTGTACTCAAGCCTGTTGATGCCGTCACGACAAGTCGCCAAGATCAGTGGTTCAAAAGAAAAAATCTGATTGGCCAAGCGGCTTCCCTTCCGCATTAGCCATGCCTTTGAATACTTCAGATAGATTAGTGCCAGACCGCTCCAGAAGCGGCCCGAGACCTTCTTGAACCTCCTGGAAGCTCAGATACCCATCGCCGTTCTTGTCCATCTTCGTGAAGGTCTCTCGTAGCTCATGCCCTTCTTCTGCGGTAAGATTGTATGCCACGGCTACGAGCGCAGCTTTCTGGAATCGGTTTGCTGCGCTGAAAGCTTTCAAGTTCTGCAACACCTCTGGGTCAAAGACTTTCGGGTCGGCTGCCGCTCCGCTTTTTTGGAACCACGAGTGTTCCAGGGCGCCTGTCGCCGTCATCCGTTTGCTGGCGTCCATCTCCAAACAGCGGCCTATCAGATCCTTGGCCGGTGCAGATACCTGATCCCATATGGGCCCATCCAATGTGTACCGGCCACGCTTCACTTGCCTCAAGACTTCAAGGTCTGTCGGTGCTGTGAAAGGCAGCCGGCCGCAGTGCAAGCAGTACATAATCACGCCGCAGCTCCATATGTCCACCTCCCGGCCGTACTGATGCCCCAGCATCTCCGGAGCGACATAGAACGGGGTACCCACAGCAGTGCTGAGACTCTGGTCCTGCCTGCAGGAAGTTGCCAGGCCAAAGTCAATCAGCTTCAAGGGCGTCTGGTCGACTGCCCGCGCCTTGGACATCAGCACGTAGTTCTCGGGTTTCAAGTCCTAAGCTGAAAGAGCACAAGTCCAGTAAAGGGCTCCCGGTGAAATCTTCATCGGCACCTGCTAACCGACACAGAACAGAAACTGTCAAACTCCCACCCTGACCCCGCTGTCACACCACTCTTGCTCTTGCAAAGCTCCTGTTCCTGAACAGCAGAGAGGGCACTGGGCAAAAAGTCACGTCTTTGTGAAGCGTGCTTCCTGGACATTCTCTTACCGCTTTGGGTCCACATCCCATGACCCTTTGGCGTCAACGAACTCCAGAACATACTATGGGCACAGTTTGTATGGGCAAGAAAAAGAAGCCAATTTCATCCCTGTGGCTCTGTGCACCACATCCCGAGCATGGCAGTAAGCGATCGACGAAAAGACTTGCCTCGGGAGCTCCGGGATGAAGCATGGAAAGGCAGGAGACATACTCATCACTTGCTGGTTTGCAACCGCTGCTATCAGTTCAACTTGGGAGCTGCTCGGTTTCGACCAATGGCTACGGATGCAGAAAGCAATATCATCTCAACCTACAAGAGTGGGTCGATCCAACTTCTCGCAATTCTGGGGCGAGAACTCGACGAGTTCAGCGTTCATGATTGACTCCACACACTGTTACAGGACACAGACATAGACAGAGACCCGAGACTACCCCGCTCTGTGTATGTGGGGGGGGTTCCAGGACATACAGAGCGGGAGGGTCCAGCGATCCGAAAACAGCTGCTGCATTGTGAAGGTGTGCTTCATGATCTTTCTCGCCACCGGCTCAGTCAAGAATTTTTCGTCGACCAATCGATCGAAGAGCTCGCCGCCCTCGCAAAGCTCCAGAACCAAATAAAGGCTACAGTGGTCTTCGTAAACCGCATAGAGTCTGACAATGTTCGGATGGTCCATGCGCTGAGTTAGCTGGAGCTCCTGCTTCACCTCATCCATGTGTGTCACACGTGACTTTAGAATGGTCTTCACGGCGCGCCATGCTCCAGTCTCCTTGTCACGGGCCTTGACGACGCGGCCGAAGCCACCTTCTCCGAGCAGAGTGGTGTCCAGTTCGAAGCGCTCTTCGATGTTCTTCCGAAACTTGTCCGAGTTTGATACCAGGCGCTGCCTGATGTCCAGATGTGTTTTGGCCCTGTGGCCCTTTGGCACAGGTGGGGCCTTGCTGTCCTCGCCCATGTCGAACTTCACTCTCGAATATCCAGAGTCTTTTGCGACCTGCATGTCCTGATCGCCATATCGGAAACAGAGCTTCGAGCCAGTTGGGGCATCGGGCCAGGATCGGTTGTGAGGCACCGGTTCCCACTCGACCGAGCCGTCACGGCCTTTGCTCTTTCTGCATCAGCAACACAGCGCAGGGTGCAGCATGTGCAGCGGAGAGTCGTCTGATGACGAGCTTGAACTCCGCTCCCGCCATCCCCGGCGGCAACTGGGCCGTCCACCTGCGACGCTGACAGCGAATCCGCCGCAGAGACGCGCTCAGACCAGGCCTGGGCCAGAGCTTCGGGCCGGTTTTCAGCTCGAGCACCTTTGTGGCTTCCCAGTCCCCGAGCTCAGGCCGAGAGCCAAGAAGGCAGACCTCCAAAGCAGCGCAGGAGGTGACTAGGCCGGTGCTTCTTAGCAAAACCCCCCTGCAGAAGGGGTTTTGCGACTTTGACTTTGGCGGGTTGCTATGAGTGTAGAGGCACGGCAGTCCCCGTCTGCTGCGAGTACATGATGCTCGTTCAAGGGAAAAAAATTTCCTATCGTTGTATCCAGACTTATAGGTCTGCATGCGGCTTGTGTGTACGTGAAATAAGTTTACACGTGACTTCACAACCATCGTTTCCCGATCAACATTGGAAAGACTGCCAACGTGAATTTACTGGCGAATCATAAGATACTTTTCTGAGAACAGACCGCGGGTGCTCGGCGTTTGAAAGAAAGCTTTCGTTATTGGAGCCGGGGTTGGATATCCCGGGTCGACAAGAGCACGTAAATGATTGTACACGTTTTACGGGCTTCTGGTGTTGAGCACATGGCAGCCTCAAGATGGCTGGGGTGTGGTTTAGTTTTGCCTAAGTGGGGGCGGAGGTATGGTGGGGGGTAGGCTCTCCCCCTGCGCCCATGTGCACTTGACATCGAGAGATGTGAAAGTGAAGACCAAGTTGCTGCTGCTAGTTGCCACCCGTCCCATATGAGCGTGTTTGGAAGTGCTTATCCACACATGACTCAACATCACAGAAGAGAGTGCATTATGCTTTATGACATGGCAACCCTATGACTGCTTGTGCTTGCAAAAGGATAGAGTCTTGAACCGGGCAGACTGCTATTGGAAGCAAAAGGCGAACATCGAATGTCCACACAATGTAGCAAAACACACAGAAGCCCAAGGTAACATTGCCGCGTGTGCACGCACGCATTGCTGCCACTACACAACAGTCATTGTAGGTGGCAAGAGCATGATTTCCTTCTTCTCGGGCCATGGCATCTGGGACAGGTTCGCAAACCGAACCCATTCGAATTCAAACGAATGTGTGCTCGCGCCTAGGTCTTGGCACATCGGAGTGGCTTGAGTAAGAGGCTCGTGAGAAGACGACCCTCGTTCCCAAAGTGTGCACTGGTAGCACGGGCGGTATCATCGTGCAGGCGCGACGCTTCCACATGCGAATCACACGCAGCGCAGTAAGTACCGGCAGAGTCAGTGGCAGGATGCAGCATTTGGGAAAGTCGGTGCCTTGTCCCCATCCTGGGTGAAGGAGCACTCGGCCTCGACCCTCGTAGCCATGGCTGGCACAAACCCTGGCCGCTCAGGGCCGGGAAGATGCTGGTAGGCAATGTAGGGTTCTGAGAATAAAGAGTGCGAGTGAAAAGCGCCACGCTTTGGCTTTGAGGCTGTGTCTTGTTGCAGGCACGTATAATATGTGTAAGCCACAGCTTGCCGATCTTATAAGCTTTTCGCGTAAGACTGAGGAACAGGAGGCTGCAGCCAAGCTTTGAAGTCAGCTCGGCATAATGCATACATAAACTCAGACAAGATAGAGACACACTGCGCGAAGAAGCAAGTGCTGCTTTTGGCCAAGCACTGTACAATCGATACTGGGCGTGACCTCCGTGACATAGCACTCGGAACTAGACAAGGACCGGAACCCATGCATCCGTGGTCGTTTGAAAGAGACGGAGATCCCAACATCATCGGGCCTAAGACATCCTACTTGTAGCACTCAGTTGTCACCCATGAGACCATCGACGAAAATCACCTGACACTTCAAGCAAGGACGGCACATTGTCTCGCTTTGACGTGCGCTGCGGGTCTGCTTTCGCCAGCATGAACGTCGGGTTCATGCTTGGAAGTCCGACCCCAGCTGCCTGATCGCCGACGACCTCGCATTTAGCCTTCTTGTTGCCAATGCGGATCTGCAGAGTCACGGCACTGCGGCATCTGCTCAAGGGAAGTCCTTGCTCTCAGCGCCTCCACATCCAGGTCAGTCTCGCTTCCGTCCTTGGATGCCTGCCCGTGGTGTTTTGATGCTCGAACCCCTGATCTGGTAGGACACACTTATCGGGACCAGATTTGCTCAGGCTGACTACAACTACCATCACTCTGACCCTCTCGTGAAAGGCAGCACAGATCTTTCGCACACGTCGGCCTTCAAGGTGAAGACGCGGTTCGTCGCAGGACTGATCCTAGGCAGGCAAAGTGACAATCACATCTGGACCCCAGGCCGGGCACCTGCCGGAAGGGGCTGAGACAGGTACTCTTGGATACAGGCTGGACACGCAAAGCAGCGGCGGTGTCATGATTTTGCTTGTACAGTGAGGTCCGCACGTGCCCTCGGCCATGGCACTGCGGAAGAGCCGCGCCTGCAGCAGGCTGCCACTGGCAGTGGCACAAAACCGTCACCAGTGCTCTCGGCCAAAAAAACGAGCGAGTCTGAGGCAGCGACAGCAGCATTGCTGTGACCCGGCTCGAAAATCTTCACTTGCACGGGCTCATCCGTGCAGTTAGATACCTCCGCTGCACTTCTCGGGTGCTTCGAAGAAGTTAGTTCCGCTGTTTCGATCCTGCTTCTGTCCAGCAGTGGATGAAGCAAGATGTTCCGGGTCATGTGGTAATCAGTTTCCGTTCAGGCACTGAGGTTTAACTTCCTGATGAGTCCTCCTCATGCATGAGAAATGAACATCGAAAGAGTGGTGGAGAGAAAGAGACAGAGGGCTATCAAGTTCACAGAACCTGCTCCCGTGCCTCCAGTGTCGTAGTTGGTTCGTCCGATTTTTGGTCGTCCAGGATGTCCGGGTTGTTGCTCGCAACTTCGCCTCCCAGCTTGGCTTGGAGGTCCTGCAAGCGTCAGGATCTAGCTTGAAAAGCCCGCGTGGATCCCTCTAGCACATTTCGCGTCCTCATCCTCGCACTTCACATCCGAAGTGACTCGGCTATCGCCCTGTGCAAGCGACGCTCTTCAGAGCAGCGACTCCCTTTCTCAGTTCCCGCCTCTCGGTCGCCCACGCGGAGGCCACAGTCAACACTGATGAAGCTGAAAACGCCTCCTTCTCGGAACGCGCAGTCCCCGACCTTAGCCCATGAGACACTCGGAACCTGGGCCTCTTTGAGGGTAGAGGATGGTTATTTGAGATTGGCCTTTGTCACAGGCACAGCCGAGTTTCGGACCTTGGTATCGCCGTACGCAAAATGTCCTTTCCTGAGCGAGCTTGTCGAATCCGATGCTCCGATCCAGGCAAAAACAAGGCCCGTGCCAGCCCCAGTTCATGTCTGGCTTTGGTGGTAGAGGCACCACCTCAGCGATTTGGGGGGGAGAATTTTGGGACGACACGCAAGGCTCAGAGGCTTTCACACTGTACTTATGGCCAGAAGCAGCAGCGTACCCACATTTCACTTACCTGGACATGGGGTCTCCTGTCGTCTATCCAACCTCCTTCAAGGCTGCAAAACACCCCAAAGGTGCATAAGCTTAGATGCTTGCGGCTAGTCTCTGCGGCGCGATGACCAAAGAGCTGTCGTCCTTCTTGCTGTAGCTGCCAAAGGCCTCGGTCTTTGGGCTGGCATGGGTTCATTACAGCACCAAACTTGCCGAAGCTGCCTTCTTCATGACGTTGCCGAGCGGGTGATGGTCAAGCGCTTGAGTCCAATCCCCACCCGAGTCGTCCTGGCCGCTGATGTGGCTCACCAGCCTCGGCCTGGCCATGGGAAAAACCAGCGCTTTCCTTTCCCTTCGACTGCAAACCTTCAACGATCTTCATCGGCTGTGCGGCAGAGCTCTCTCCTATTTCGAAACCACTTCATGCAAATCATGCCGGATGTTCTTGACCAGAATTCGTCGCACCGAGGCGTTGTGAACCAATACCTGGCATGAAGGGGCTATGTCGTCGGAACACAAAGCAAGACTTCTCATGCATGTGAGCCAGCTTAACTGGCGCAGGACGAAGCAGAAAGAATTCTGCGAGGATGACACATCCTCGCTTCCGCTCGGCCGGCAAAGCCTCCCACTCGGCCAGCTTGGCTTTTGCCTGTTCGAAAGAAGCTTCGCTTGGACAAGAACTGCTGCCATCTTTTGTGCGTCCACTGACCAGCGTTCTCAGCTTGACCGACAGCTTAACTAGTGCTTACTGGAACTGATGAAGAACACATTCCCTGTCCCCGACATCCGCATGGGCGCAACAAGAGGTCTTTCTGCTTGCAGCACGCAGGCAGTAATGAAACTCGCCAGAAAGCAACGCCGCGAGGCTATAATATTTGCCTTGCAAAGGCCCAGCGTTTCGGCTTCTGCAACGTACGTGCAACATATCTACAACAGACTGTGCAAAGCAAGCACAGCTCAAACTGAATAATATTTTTTTGATCCGGCAGAGGTCATGGAGGCCAGTCGAAACGTGCATGCAGGCTTCAGCAACGCTCAGTTTGCAGTATGTTTCTCCGTGAATGCCCTCCATCCCTCGACGCTCAGAGAAAAAGAACTACACAGGTGCAGTCATCCACATAGGCCCCTGGCAGAGTCATCATGTCGGGCTGAAGGTTTGAAGAAGCTGCTGAGATGTTGATGCTACTGCTGAGGCGCTTGCAACCCCTTGTAACAACACGCCATCTTCCAAGCGCCTCTTTGTTGCCATACCCTGCGGGCCGAAGCGGTCACGACTTCAGCAGCCTTCGGGACAAGCTAGAGCAGCTAGGCTAAAGGGCCAGCACCGGGAAAAAGACTCCCACGCCGATTGCTGGCTCTTCGCCGGGGCTGCTGACTGCTGTCTTGATGCTACTTGAAAGCTACAGCTGCGCACCAACACAGGTTGCTGGCCTCCGTCGCTTCCTGGCTGTCGATGAACTGCCGGCAGCAATGCAGCACCTCATTCTTAATTCGGTTCAAGGGGGCATGCTGCTCAAGTTATCAAGACAGGGTGCTGTATGTGACTCTAGTGCATGGACTACAGTGTTCGGAGACTGTCGGCTGTGAGCTATAGATCACCCCAACAGCTCAGGGGTGCCGGGGACCAAGTCTTGGTTCAAAAGAGCCTTTATCTCCCCAAGACTCCGTGCTGGCTGTGCGTGTTTCGGCTCCGCTCCTGCTCCCGGTTCGTTGACTCGGATCCCTGAATTGGGGACTTCAATCAGTGAAAGGTATCCTGCCTCGGCATCGGACAGCACATCAAAGACTCCGTCCGAGCCAACCACCAAGACCACGTCCTCCTGGCGGAACTGCCACGGGCTGCAAGATTCCCTTGCTTCGGACTGAGGTGCTGAAGAGTCTGCCCGCATCCCTTGTGTGGTTGGCACATGCAAGGAGGTTGGGAAGGCAGTGAGTCCTGCGGGACCAGCATCATTTCGTGCGCAGTTGCCTCGGGCGATAACCCGCACGCCTTGCCTCAGAAGCTCACAGTGAGTCTCTCCCGCCATAGTTTCGGGCCACACAGAAGGCCCGGGCCCAGGGTGTCACCCAGGCCACGGCTCATGGCCAGGCCGGGCGCTTGGCCCTTGAGCCGATGCCAGAGCCTGCAGCTTTGTGGGCCGTGCGCTGACCGCCTACTTCTGCACCCAATTACCGCTTCCACCTACGCACGCGCACATGTATGTCTGGCCGTATAGTGACGCATAATAAGAATCATAAACATGTATAAACGTTTGTGTGCGTGCGTGTGTGTATGTATGTATGTGTATATATATATATATAATTCTGTACGTATGCATGTGTCTGTCCGTAGATGAAAAGTTGTTTTCACGGCAGAACACATCATCGCATACTGTGGTATAACACACTATATTCATGCGTAGCTAGTGTTTGACGTTGCATTGTAGGTATGTGCACATAATACCATGGCATCAAGAGTGCTGGCTTCTCTTCGGAAACTTTGGGTCAGTGTAACTGGCAACAATGGCATCTAGGTGGAAACCGTCGCTAGACGAAGTCCTGCCGAACTGTGTCATGGTGTGTGTCCACTCGGCTGGCGGGATAATCTTGATCCGACCGTTTGCAATCTGAAGCTCGCTGGCAATACTCAGCAGAAACGTGTGGACCCTGCAACTGTTCGGACATGGAGGACATGGAGGCTATGTTAACCCGGTGAACCCTATTGGTATGCCGAACTTTAGCCGAATAACCTGTCGCTAACACTTTCAGTAGTGTCTCGTTGACTCGTTGTCCTGATGAAACACCATGTCTACGGCTTGTCCTAACAAATGCTCCAACATCGTTTGCACATTTAAGGCTTCGCCAAACATGGCCGATGCCATGGCAATTGCTTCTGCATCGGGCACTTCTGGCAGCACTGGTCTGCTTCTTTGATGACCACCATAACAGAAAACCGGACTCTGTCGACCAAACCGTGATGTAAATGCCCCTTGTGGACTTTGCGGCGGTGTGTGGGCATGAAGAGAAAACGCTGTCAGTGAAGATATGCAGGTCTTTCCTTGCTTAAGTGCACCTGCTGCACTTACTGAGAATTAGGTATTGAACCAATCATTTCCGTGCACATGCATGCAAACTTATCTGCACGAATCTAAACTGTTATGCCTGTACTCATAACCCACTTCATACCCACTTCTGGATGTATGCTGTTTCCCTACAGATTTTAGAAAACCTCTCGACAAGCTGGGCCAAGCGGGCCTGGGAGGCCCTAGCATGGCGGGATCCACGCCCGCTGGCCCCGGCATCTTCTGCCTGACTTTTCCACAGCTCGACCTTTCTTCCCACCTCAAAATCTAAGCCTTAAGCCACTTAAGCCCGCAGCACGCGACCGCCAGCCGCCACGAGCCGGGCGGCCTGCAGTCTGAGCCGTCAGAGCTCGCACTGACGAGCGCCCAGGTACGAATTCCCTGCCATGCCTCTGCAGCCTCCCCTGGCCGGTGGTCCTCTGTGAGCCGAACCGTGGTCCAGGTGGGCCTGTCTTGAGATTGCAGACTCCGAGGCTGCAGGCTGAGCCGGAATGTAGCAGGAAGGTGATTTTTGCGTCGCAACGCTCAGTGCCGGGCGACCCGGTGCCGTTGGTGGGTCGCACACGACCCAAGACCTGACAACCACATGCCAAACCACATCAGATATCGAGGCGAAAGGATGGAAGAAGCTCGGCCCCTGCTTGGCGCTTCGCAACGCCCGCACATCACACCGATGATGAGGCCAGCGCTGCGCGGCAGTCCCCCAGGTGAGCCAAGGCCAGCCTAAACGGTGCGCCGGCAAGCGTCAGAGGATGCGGTGCAGCTGGAGAGAACTTAGCCAGCCACTTCGACTAAAAATTGGGACCAAAGACAAGAGAGAAACTAAGAGAGAAATAGACAGGACGTACGCAGATGGACCGCAAACCAGGCGGGGAGGTCAACCTTGCTGCGCGCCTGCGCTCGGCGTGGCCCAAGCCCTCGACCCTCAGCACGGCACCTGATACGTCACGAGTCCCATGTTAAGCCACAGTTGTGGAAGTGAGTGAAACCGCCTGCACGAAAGAACCTCAGCACGGCTTCTTGGCTCCACGGCCTAAGCTCCGCGCAGGTCGCGCCGGAGAGCTCTGCTTCCACCTCAGCCTTGCGGTCAGAAACTCACCCTGGGAAACATGCTCGAATGGAAATTCGGCATTTGCGGAGCGGCGGAGAGCCTTCTCGTGGATCAAAAGATCCGCATCCACGGTCATGATGACCTGCGCATGATACGACTGAAAACGCCGACTACGAAGGGCCGTCATCCCCGAGGATGCTAGCCCAAGACCTTTTGGAAGCCAGGCCGTCCGACTTCTGTGGCTGAACCCTATAGAACCGGGCTCCAGCTTCATCCCGGTTGGTTTCATCCATACCCCGACATAGAAGCCCACCCTCCAACCCTACCTCCTGTTCCTTTTGGATCCCTTAAGCGAAGAGCCTCGGCCAGTTCTTCTGACATGCCCGCGCCGCCCTTGAGCCTCGGAGCAGCAAAGGCCCTTAGAGCAGAAGAGACTCGAAGTAGCCGAGACTCGCAGAGACTGGAAAAGCCTGAACAAAGCAACATAAGAAACAACCAACCCAGAAAAGACTGGCACAAGTTTGGCTGCAGATGAGAGAGAAGTGTGAAGAATGTTCTCTGAAACACACCAAGGATACGAACACCTCCGCAACAAAAATACAAACACTCTGCATGCATAAACAACAGGTGGTGTCACAAATGGAAGAAGCAGAACAGCAGAAGAGTCATGATGTCGCACTGAAGAGGAGCAAAAGAAAGTTACTAACGCTGTGAACAGCAACTGCATGCTGGGCTTTTCTTGCTACGTGCGGGCTATGATGAGCTGAGAATCCTTGCATGGTCATGTTGATATTTACACTTCGAGTCGTTTCGATGCTCTCGTGCTTCTTCTAGCAGTTCTCATGTTTGCAACACACCCCTGTCCTGTGTAGGGCTAGATCTCACGCACTGTCAAGGCCTAAAACAAAGAATCATGATCAGACCTTCTTGTCAACTAGAGGTTCTTCTGCTCATGAAGCCATCCACGCCAAGGTGAACTTGAGCCACCATGCTTTGCTGTGGATCAGCAAAACGATCACAAGCAACACCTTGTCCATTAATTAGGCTACCGGGTCTTCACCTTTCCATGGCATAGCAGTGCCCCCTGTTCCGAGCTTACATTGTGCAAGCCCGAGGGTGCAGCTCAGCAAGCGCTTTGGCGATTCCGTCTCGCGCAGCAGCAGATAAGATCTGACGGAAAACTTGCTGGTCAGAGGTAGCATCTCAATCGGCATCTGCATATCATGCCCAGTCTCTTGATTACGACTGATTCCCAGATGTGTGGTGGCATGTGGTGGCAATGAGAAACTTGCATAAACTCGCCTGGCCGCGCTTCCCGTGACCTGAGAAAAATTTGCTCAAGCGAGCTGACGATGCCCATTGACATAAATTCTGGGTCGCCACACCATCCACCACAGCTATGGTAGCCACACTTCCATCCACATGCGCGTGGAAGGTGTCCTGGCACAGGAGCGTCGCTGCATCTACGTGATAACCCTCTAAGGCTTCACGGGAAGTCCTGGTTCTCTTTGGGCTCACCATTTCGCCTAACAGTGCATGTCAACAAGCAGATTGATAGGCCTGTTTGCATCTTGCTCCTGAGTCTCAAACAACCCGGCCACGGAGGAGCCACCGAGAAAGACCACCTGCAAGCGAAGGGGGGGCCCCAAATCGTCGCAAACCCCACATCCCGTCGAGTCGAATCCCGATCCGTTGCCTCTGATTCCGCAGGGGCAGACTCGGATTTGGGCCTTGGACCATGGAATCTCGTCGTGTTGCTCTGGCTGGCTCGGGTGGGCGGTCTGGGGTCCCGGACAGCACGTTCTTTGCAACAGAACTGCGAAATCGCGCCACATGCTCCTCCGTCCTTGGGGAAAGCTGGTCACCATAAGTCCCCTTGCCCTTGCGACTCAGATTGGTTGTGTAAGTGCCTGGCTCCACGCTCCAAGGCTGCAGCAGCGCCAATGTCAGTGAAACATCCTGTTCTTGAGCAGACACGAACGGGCCGAGATGTTCTCCAACTGCCGCACCGGTAAAGCGCTCAACCGGGAAGCGGGCATGGATGGTGCTGGAGGACAGGCGAGTACCAGCCTGAACACTGAGCTTGTTCAATCTGCATCATCTCTGCGAATCCCTGCTGTCGTCAGAAAGTATCGCCTTGCCACCATCCAGGGCAGCTGCTGCTGCCGATGCAACCTGGCAGTTCTACGCAACGACACAAATGATACAAGACGCAAGCCGGCAAGTGCACTTCAAGTGCCAGACCCGGCCATAGATGGGGTGGCAGCCGAGCGTGCCACTCAGAGCCTGCGTTTCGGGCCATTGCGCTCAGCTCCGTACACTGCACTCCAAGAGCCCGGCTGCCCCCAGTGCTACTCGGCTCAGCTTCGTCAGCTGCTCAGCCTGGCGATTGTGGCGACATTGGAGGATCTACCGGTCAGGCCAGGCAATGCAGGACTGCTCAGTGCTGACACTTTTCCATCACGTCCCGCAGCGAGGAGATCCCCGTGGCAGCAATTTCATCAAACAGATCCTGCAAGGATCCAACTGCATACCTTCTGTGACTGTGTCCCAGCACCTTTTGCTTCAATGTCTGTCAGTTCCAGCTTGTCCTTCGCTGGCCGAGGGCTTGAAGATGTTCGGAGACATGCCCGAAGCCTCGCCTGGTGGAGAATTACATCCTCGGATCCGCAAGAAAGGCCGTCGAAGCACACGACAAGAAGGCAAAAAACAACGAAACAAGAAAAGAGCTTTGTGATGGCCAGGCCGGGACTCCAGCTCCAGCTGGCTCCGGGCCATCTCGGCGGCGAGGTCCAGCACGTGCTGCCACCGGCTCGCGCGGTCGCAGGCAAAGGTCGCGGCACTGCGGGTGATGCCGTCCGACGTCTGACCACGGCCGGACAAATCCGTCAGGATCTTCAAGACCTGGCAGGGTCGTATAACGACGGGCTGCCTGGGCAACAAGTCCGAGATGGAGCCTGTGACCATGCAGATCGTTTCTCGCAGGCACTCGCAGCAGCATTCCAGGAAATGACGTCCGGCGAAAGGCGCAAAATGTGAATGGCACGCAGGCCCCACACAGCGAGCTGCCACTGCATGGCACCCTCGCAGGCACTGATGGCAGCATTGCAGGTTACGCAGCTCGGTGGCAGCTGCGTTGAGAACATCCTGACACTCCATCGTTCAGGTTCAAGCATTCTTCAACACGTCCACACAGACATGCTTTTGAAAATGCACCAAAAGAGGCACTCTTGTTCCACTAAGCAGCTCGGATAGCATGGACACTGCAAGCATCCAGTGTCCAATCTTCTCGCTGGAGCTCACCAACGCACTCCTGTGGTTCCATGGCCACTTGCTCTTGCTCCGTGCGTGATAACTCATGTCGCGTGCTAATCAAGGAATGGCAGCTTCTCTATGCTTCTCTTGCTTTACCCCTCTGTCCATGCAACGGCGTTGAGCTCAAGCAATCGCTCGGCGGCCAGTGCGAAAACTTCAAAGGCTTTTCGCCACTGCTTGCCCTTCTCGCAAGCACTGATGGTGGCAGCGGACGCGAAGATACTGCGATCCAGGCCGGACGTCGCCAAAATCTCTGCGATGTCCAGAGAAACTTCCCATCGGCGCGCCTTCTCACAGGCGCTGATCGCGGCATGATAGCCTGGCCAAGCAGGTGGAGCAGCTTTTGCGCGAGAAGACCTCCGAATGTTCTTGCTGCACCTGGAACTGCCTCTGCACTCGCAGCATGCTCTTAGGGCAGGACCATTCTCGGCTAAACGCAGCAGTGACCCGCCTGCAATGTCGGGCCCGGGCTTGATCCCCGTTGCTTCCACAAGCGCATCACCTCCCTATGAGGCCAGGTTGAAGGTCGACGAGTTGACAACTCAAAGCCCTGGGACACATAGTTTGCCCCAAAAAGCTGGTTACACTTCCCTCTGGAGTTGCTTTTTCGGGGTGCCCCTGTCTCTGCAACTCCAAAGCAGCAGCAGCCCGCTTGCCTGCTACACGCAGTAGCTGTAGAGCTGGAATCCAGCGAGAAGACTTCAGGGAAGACGATGGCACATGTTGCAGCATCAGCCCCACTAAATAGTAGCAGGCAGACGAGTTGAGAGACAGACAAGTCCTCCTACCCGGATGCGAAAGCAGGGCAAACGTCGAGTTGACAGTTCTTCGTGTCATCCCAGCACGAGCCACTCACTCTCGGAACAGTCCTGAACTGGTCGATTGGACCGGCCATGTTCTATTCGCCAATCCATCGTGCATGCAATGTAGACTTAGATGTGGCTGATGGCTATTTCTACATGGGCTCACAGGTAGCTCAACCGTTCTGGAAAAAACGTTCGACCACGCCTTCTCGCAACAGCTCGTCACTGAGTTGCATGAGATTTCATCGGTCTGCAGGGCTGCCTGACCTAAGAAAAGAAACGAAAAACAAGCAGCTGCAGACCCTGCCACAGGTCTGTGCACCACGACAGCCCCGGCCGCTGCCTGAGCTCTGAAGGAGATTCACCGCAACCATCCAAGCGCTGGATCCAAGAGCGGCGTTCAATGCTGTGAGATCCAGCTGCAAGCTTCTCGAAGGAAGATCTTCCTTTGTGCTGAGATGCGACACGCATACAGGTTCAAGAGGAGAGACCCCTTCCTGCACATGCCCGCGATCTGGATGGCGAAAGGGGGCATCTCTTTTTCAGGGCCGTGTGAAGCGACTCTTGCTGCTCGCGAGGTTTGCAGGCACCCCTCGACAGAACTTACCTCAGAACTGGCCTTGTCTTTACCAAGCTTCCAAAAGGTGCAGTGCTTGCTGCCAGTGACCAGATTTGTCCCAGGAGCCTCAGGGACGGAGACTTTCGATCGGACACTTTAAGATGCTTCGGTGAGTAGGCTTGCGATTTGTCATGACATGTCGAGCTTCCCTTTGAAGCATTGGCTGAGCCCCAGTTGACGCATGGATGAAAGGTCACCCACTTCGATGCGAGGCACTGATGAGGGTGCTGAAGGTGATGATGTCGAAGGTTAGACTGCCCCCGGAGAAAGAGTCGTTTTCTTCAAAGATGTGCACCGCTTCTTTCCACCTGGCGCTCTACACCATGCCCCACGAAAGCCCAGGCTACGATCACACTTCCCAAGCTAGTCTCGAGAAATGGCACCCCATGCCCCCGGCCTGCTACATCTTTCACAGCTGCTCAAGGAAGTGTTGCAGCTGATAAGGTCCATCGCAACGCCTTCGTTTGCCAACTGCAGGAGCCCGCGCAGCGCCCAGAGCCAGCTCTCGGATGCCATGAGCGTGTTGAAGCCTCGGACTCAGGGCCCGCCGAAGGCCAAACCCCGAGCTCAGGGGAAACAGGACAAGTCAAAATCAGCAACCTGGTTGCTGATGGTGTCAGGCCGCAGCTTCCTCATCTACAGCACGGCACACTCTCGAAGTAGGAACCCGCACTCCCAAAACATATCAAGATGCAGGCGAGCGTCTTTTCCGCGGCGGTGTGAAGCAAGTGGTGACCAACCGGCCACAAAGCCTTCTGGCATGAGCTCAGCACCGTGTTGCAGTGCACCACATTGGCGCTGTCCAGTCTTTGGGTCCTCGAAAAAATATGAAAAACTTCCTGATTGAGATCATGTGGAAACAGGAACATCAGGAAGCCAACAAGACAGCAAGACACCTCGAAGAGAACCTGACACAGATGCAAGACGCCAAGGGGCTGAGCAGAGCGAAGCAAAGAAACCGCCAGCTGCCATTGCACCACGTTCGCCAGACCTCCCACAGCTCGCGGAATCCGAAAGTAGACCCGATATTCAGCCGCCATCGAGACCAACCAACCCGACATGTGCCGATGCTCCCTGACTCCCTGTCCTCGTAAAAGAACCGTGCGCTCCTTGTCTCCGGTGAGAATTGGCGTCGGGCCATGGAGTGCACCTGCGACTCCTGAAAGCTCCGAAAGCTCCCACTGACTGCGCCTGTCCCACTCTGCCGCCCCCCGCCTGCCAGCAGCTCCGTGCTGGCTTGGCCACTCTGGATCTTCCGTAAGAGCAATTGGCCAGCATCCAGAGGCCTGAAAAGCACGAGGCTTTCAAGCGAGAGACGTCAACGGATGCGGACACTGCGACAAGGGATACCAGTACTTGTGTAGACCTTAAGCTTGGTAAGTGTACCTTGATTTTGCGGCTCTGGCCATAGACGTGCCCTGCACAGCTCACGCAGGAAGCCATGGCCGCAAAGCGCTTGGGAGCCGCAGCAAGGTGCAGTGGCGTTTGGTGCTCACGTGCTCACGACTCCGACATCGCATGAAAAGGTGGCACACCGAGTGGTGACGGGCGATTAAGCTGACTGAGGCTGCTCAGCTGGAGATCCCAGAAGGCTTCGGCACTTCATCTGCTTCTCCACTTGCGACGGCAGCTCGGAGCACTTGCGACTCCAACCTCCAAGGGGGACTTCTCGACGGCTCTCAAGGCCAGGTCTGCGGAGTCCTGAGACGAAGAAGATCGAAGAAGGTAGGCCTTTGGCCTTGGCCTTTCGCCCCCGGCCTCCAAGACATTGCGCGGCAAAGGCGGCCCTGGCCGCAGCCGGCCGTAGAACATCGCTACGGTTGCCAACCTCGGGAAGCCCGAGGCCAGCACTCCCTGCGTGCTGCCACCGCGAAGCTGAGTGCTTAGCCACTGGAGAGACGGAATGTCTCGCTTTCCTTGGATGGCGGCGTCCAGCTCGGCCTCGCTCAATGCAGCGCCCTGCAAGCATCCAAGAGAACCTCGAGGTTTCGGCTTCAACGCGTTCGTGGAGCCATCGGAAGGCCTGCAGCAAGGCAGCAAGGGGTGGAGCTCACTACCGGCCCAGCGCTCTGCCTCGGAGGATGTCGAGCCGTTGCCGCCGTTGCCGCCGTTGCCCTGCAGACTCACCATTCGCACTCTGCTGTGGGCATTCCTGACTCTCAGTGCCTGTGCCCGGGTGGGAAGTGGCAAGGCCTCGAAGGCTGCCACCCGCTTATCTACTCGACACCTCTGCTCCTGTGGCGTTCGCCTCGATGGCTCCCCCTTTCTCCAAGTGCGACCGCAAGCCCTCGCTGGCGCCGTCCACAGCGGCAGCACCCAGCCTCGGATGCCGATCCAAAGAAGCAGGGACAAGCAACGAGTGGGGTCCAGATGGGTCCGGGTTCCCACACAGATCCGGCAGACGCCTCAGCGCTGCTCCGCCGGCATCAGAGGAGAGGCTGCTGCCCACAGCCTGCATGCGCTCCCAGCAACGGCAGGATTTGGAGGGGATTCGGCTCAAGTTGCCGAGTTCCAGGTGCCTCCAAGGCGGTCCACATCTCCTGCAGATTGGGGACCTCTTCGATGGCCAAGCTGGCCATCTGGCCGAAGGCCACCAAAGCCTGGCGGTCAGCGTTGTCTGGTGCAGCGCTACGGCGACATGCCTCGCCTCTGCGGCATCGGAGGTCCAGCAAGACGGCCCAGCCAGAAGTGCCTCCAGGCCCAACCTTGGAGCAGCACAAGCGAAGACAAGAGAAGAACCGAACCCAGAGCCCGTCTGGAGCCTGAAAAGCATCTGCAGTAATCTCAAAGCTGTGTGTCCGCACGATGGATTCTCGGGTCGAGCTCGTTTGGCCTGCTAGATGTCCATGCAATCACATCACGCTGTCCAGCCACCGGCTGAACCCTGCCACTAGGGTGAGCCTTTGGCTCTGGGGCCAGCGGATAAAACCGCTGCTTCTTGCGGGTCCTCCATTAGCAACGGTGACTCGGGCTGATGTTCAAAAAAAACACAAAATTACCCACTTCTCAGACTGAACACAAGCTTGCAGCGGCGGCCTGCCATTAGCCTTGGCCTGCAGGATGCGAACTGAAAAGCACAAGCCAAACGAAACTGGACCTGCCTCGGGCCGTGAGCTCATCGAGGCTGACGGAAGTGAGCCATGAGCCCAAGCCCACGGGATCTCCGTTGCAATTTCATTAGCAGATCAATGGCCTTGGCACCTCTCGTGTCTAGTCATCACACGATTCACATGCTGTACCAGCGATTTGATGGATCAAGTTGGCAGGTGACTCCGCCTTCTGCGACTTAGCTAGTTGTAGCTAGCCTGTTGACTGCGGCTGTGTTATTGTGCCGTACAGTGAAATTCCTTGGTGAGAGCTCAGTATTCTCTATGCCGGTGATTGCCGGTGGCTGACGACATGAAAGGCCAAGCAGGTGGGAATGGACCGAAGGGCCGCCTACTGTAAGCTGAGCAAGGCCTTGCTCGATCGGCACTGAAACTGATCCAAGATGGTGTCGGTGTCCACGTCTCGAGGATGCTCGTACACCACATGCTGCCTGGCAGGGCGGGTGCTCTTGGCGAGGTTTCCGTCTGACACTGCCGGTGCGATTTCACACTGCGTGTCTAAACGCACACAAAAGCACATGCCGGTGTGCACCATGCTTGGTCTTTGTCCAACCACATCATGGTAGTGGTCGCCAGCCACATCTCGCTGGATCCAGGGACCGGGGCAACGGCGACCTCTTCGGTCAATCACTCGGCCGCTCGGCCACGCCAAACCACAGAAACATGCTCGTCTGCGTGCGACATGCGACTAAGATCGACTAAGAGGGCAGAGATGCTGAGAATGCCACAGCAGCAAGGCAGACAAGCGATGACTGAAGCTTTTCGCCGACTGTCTTCGCCTGCGAAGCTGCAGATGTCAGGAACTGCAAGAGTTGCAGAAAGCGACCTGGAATGCACGACGGCGGGAGGACAGCGCACCCTGCTGCTGTAGCCCGCGGCCTTTTTTGTGTGCACTGAAGGGCAGGAGCAAACGAACTGACGCCAAGGCTCAAACTGAGGAGCTTCAGCTGCCGAGAGAATCGAGCAGCGCGCTGGGCAGAGATGGCTTGGCAAGGCTTGGAATTGGTTCAGTTTCAGCTCGGGGAACAACGACTCTGCCAGGCCTGATGCATCTCGGCATGCCGTTCTAGGAGGCGCTGAACCTGTGGCCAGTTTGGATCAGCTTGGCAGGGCTTTGGGGGCCGCGTGGCCTCCAATGCACTGATCCCGGCCGCACTGAACCAGCCGGCGCGGTCGACGTCCTCAAACAAAAGCCGCTCGCGCACCTGGCACTTCCGAGGAAGGGGCGCGGAGGGGTGGCGCAAAGGGACCAGAAAGCGTGCGAATGGAGTAAGCTCGTGGTGACAATTCCACATGGACAAATGTTCAACAGCTGCACTACAACCTCTGGAAGTCGTAAGTGTAAACCCGTCCAGTTTGGATCACCCTTGTTGCACCAGACTTTCGGCTCACGGTGCGCCTCCTGGCCACGGGCCAGAATAGCAGCGAGCTCGGTGTTGAAGTCGCCGAGCCACTGGCAACAGGGGCTCAAGAAAGGCGCCTCCTCCGGTTCCTCTCTCAGCATCTCTCAGAGATGCGAGCAAGAGCAAGTTCACCATTGTGAGAACACTCGGACGACCAGCCCTTTTATTGCTTCAACGTCAACCCTCTCATCAGGCCCATGCCTTCCTATATGCCACAGGGTGAAGGGCACGCCAAAGGTCTGTATTGCCGAAATCTTTGGAATGTGCTTCAGCCACCTCTCTTTCTGTTGGATGATGAGAAATTTCATGATGCATTTGGCGGGATTGCTGGAGAGGAGAATTCCCTGTCAAGAAATGTTGTCTCTGGAAGGCCTGAGTCATCGTGAGTTCGGCCCAATGTATCCGAGGGTGGCCAGGACGTTTCCTATGTAATGTAAGCGCCTATAAGCGCATGCTGTTTGGAACATAGCCATATGCTCCGACGAATCTGCATGTCTCAGGATATGTCCTAGATAAGAGATTCGGGAAATAAGAGATTCCGGCAGAAATTATCTGCTGGGACGGGTGCTTGAAGATTGAGCGCATGCTCGTAGGCCAATGCAGACAAACACGGACAGATATTCATTGGAGCAATCTGCATCCGATGGCTTTAAAAATGTGGTGCAAAAAGAGCTCTTTTTCCAAAAAAATGCTGTAATACTCTGTAGCGGAGCTTGTTGAGCTTAGTAGGTGTGATTGGAAATACATCTGCGATTGGCTGACATCGGCTGACCACGGCCCCACCATGTTGAAAGATCATCACTGTTCAATGAGTTTGAATATCAATCGCCGTAAGCACCGGTATCAAGCATCATCGCCTTCGTGCTGACTGCTGGATTGTGCACATTACCACCGCCGTCGTTGCCGCCACCTCGCTCTCATCACACTCATCGTCACCACTATCATCAGCCCCACCGGAATCGCTACGTACAACTATCACGATCATTCGTCATGACATTTTCATCACGGCCAGGCAGTGTTCTGGAACCCTACCAGACTTCGGCAGCTCGGGCTGTCCAATAGCAGTGGCATGGGGGCTGTTTGCCGGTGGGGCTTTTTGACTGTCAAGACAGCTGGGATACCAGAAGTTCGAGCAAAAGGCAGTGACGGAATGCCAAATGAGTGGAGCTAAGCCAAGCCAACCACGGTAGTCAGTGTGCTCCACTCTTTCACAATCTCTGGCTGAGCAGCTGACAACAGTTCGTCGGTCGAGGATTTCGTCGCATTGCTTCCGCAAACTCACCTTTACGCCACAGTCTCGCAGGGGGCCGTCGCGAAGAATAAGTCAACCAAGCACGGTTACAGCGCTCTCTGCGGCTGGGTTGCTGGAAGCGTGCTTGCAGTGTGCTCATTAGATATCGCATTCTGGATTTCCTGTCGGCCAGATTCAATCCGATTCCAGCTGCAGCCAAGGAAGATCCATGTCTAGCCTGCCAAAGGCCCCTCTCGGGTTCAGAGTGGGCCTCGCCAGGGTGGCTACGGACATTCGGGAACGATAGTTCGACGCAGGCCGGCCAGGCTTAGGGGCCGACCCTTCGAATCTCTCGTAATTGGTGGTGAGACTCCTGTAGAGCGCTGCTGCATTCTGGTGATTCTAGTATGCACAGCAAGTCGCACGAAGACTCCTCCATCAGCTCAAGGATGTCCCACTTCAAGCCTGCATATCGCGCAGCTCCTTTCCCTCACCGGCGCAGGCACTCCAACCAAGCTTGGCACTTGAAGGTGTTGACCTTACATGGACCGGGCGTAGCAATAAGATTGTAATACTCTCCCTACGCATCTCCCCGACTCAGTCTCCGAAGAGGCTTTGCGCTCTTCTCACGAAGCGCATCCTAGCTGATGCGCTTGGTTCCTACGGACACTCGGATCTGTCTACCTTCAGGCTCTGCTCTGGTTGCGCCTGCTCTCTTGCAGACCAATTGCCATCCTCTGCTGCTCCTTCCCCCTCAGTGAGCCCTGAACCACAGGCCCGACGATGGGCATGGGGCCGGGATCGTTTACGACTTGGTCAACAAAGGCTGTTGAGCAACTTTGTACGACTATGCCGAATCTCCGTCGCCCGGCCCAGGACCCACGTTGGCAGAATCTGCTCTCACTATCGCAAATTCGCTTGAAAAGTCGACATCTCAGGGGTCAGCATGTTGGATGCTCGTCTCATCAGCTCCTTGCATCGCTCAGCCACGTCGTACTTGTCGAATGGCTGCTGTGCCTCGGAAAGCGAGCTGACCCTTCAAGTCCTGAAGAGCTCAGACCTGGAACGCGATGTCACCCGCACAGAAGCAGCCTGGCCCGTCCTGGCTGACTCTGGCGTCGTCCACGTCATCTTGCGATGTCTGCCTCGCTGGTGGTAGACCTGTCCAGGCAGCTGCTTGCCAGCTGGTTGCCCGTCAGGACCGTGCCTCCAGCATTGTCTATGTCAAAAGCCATGGCCAGCCCAAGAGCAAGAAAGCACTTCTGGCATCTGGGATGCGTTCTAGTTCTGTAGGTCTGTAGGTTGGAAGGCGCAAAGGCCTACACGAAGTAGGTCGGTCTCTCTACTCGTGCAGTCCGAGGTGTTATTTGTAGCTCAAAGCTGAATCAGCTGAATTGAAGCTGAGCATCTGGGACATGCTCAACAGCATCGGAGCCGCAACACCAAATCTGTCCAAAGCTTGATCTACACCCTGCATCGAGAGACGGTTATGCATTGCTGGGTATGCGCACCCTGCGAGGCACGATATCCGGTTTTGTGCTGCTGGAGTCCTTGCGCTGTCCCGCCACCAGGCCGGCTGAGTTGAGTCCTCTGCGGGTCTTGAATGCTTTGATGCTTTGACCCATCTGTGAATGCTGCAGTCTAGAAACAACTTATGTACCGGGCACCATGCCCGAGCAGACACACCCCAGATGCGCTGCGGCAACACCTCAGCACAAACACTCCTGCGGTCCCCTCGAGACCACTACACTCAGACTTGTGCTTCCCTCTCGGCTGTTGACTTGCTGCTCTCGCAGGGCAGATTCCAGCCGCAGAAGGATGTGTGCATCTGTTGCAGCATAGATGACCTCGAGAGCCAGGAAAAAGGCTTTCTCCGAATCAAGTCATGCTGCTTGTCAAGGGGTGAGATCACAAATGCCGGCCGGCCTGTGAGGCACTCAACGGACGGAAGTTCCAATTGCTGACCTGGATACATGCAAGATCGCACAGGGGCCTCTGTGGCGCATGCGGCTCCTCCTGCTCTGGCACTGGGTGTAGCGCCCGGTACTGCTTGTTGAGGGTCTCGCCCAGATACTTTTCCACCTACACAATGCCGAGGTCAGCCGCAGGCAGTTCATGGCAGCTGGGGCCCTGGCCATGCGAGACAAAGACTGGTGGCCTCCCACTATGAACACCTGTTCCGAGAGCTCCTCAGGCGGAAGTTCCCAACTCGCAGAGTACTTCACACTGGTGCAATATATCTGCTGCCTAGCACAGCGATGCCTTCATGTCGTGTGCACTGGCTCCTGGATAGGATATGGTGGCAGCGGATGCTCGCCGATCTCTGCTATCTTTGTAAAGTCATCCACCTCCAAGACCACTGCTCTGAATGTGAATTGCGGCACCGGGGGATACCGGGAGGCACCTGCAAAGCTTCGCCCATCAGGCTCTCTCGCCCGAGCGGAGTGTCCTGCCCAGAAGTGCGGGCGAGCGCGGCGCGAGCGCGGGGCGAGCGCGGGGCGAGCGCGGGGCGAGCGCGGCGAAGCCAAGCCCTGGCAGTCGCTCCGGCCTCTGCGCGAGGATTCGTTACCTGCACCCTCCGAACCCGCTGAGTGTAGAGGTCCAGTACCTCAGAATTCGACTATCGGAACAGAAAGAAATGGGATAGACAAGAGGTGTTGAGAGCATTGAGGGCACGCTTGCGAGGTAGTCCTTGCCGCTGAAGCTTCGACCGTACGGGCCGAAGAGCATGTTCAGTCGGATAAGGTCCTCGACAGGCCAACCTTCCGACTGTGAAATCGTGAACGAGGACGAGGTCGGACGAGGTCGGAACATGGGGGAATCCGAAGAAGAGCTTCGTCATCTCTTCCCGCCTCGAAGGAAGCAAGCAGAGATCGCAGCACAGGATTGAAAAGAGCGCTGGGCTTCAAGCTTCATGACGTAGTCCATGACACAGTGCAGGACCTTCGGGAACCGGATGGAGTGAAGCTTGAGACAAGGATGGAGGCTGGGGCACCGCGCTGACATGTAGAGCGGCCTGGTTTGGAAACAAGCCGAGGAGTCCACCAGCCAAACTTACGCGAAGCAGGGCCCAATCAAATCTAGTATCCTTAAGGGAGCTGGTCCATGGGAGTATAGATAAGCTAGTCATCTCTAAGTCTCCCTAGTACTCCCTGGGGTTCCCATAAAGTTCCCTAACGGTCCTTGAACCACCCTCCCTCAAGGATCCTATCAAATCAAAACATGAGCTGAAGCTGGGCTCTCAGACGTACGGTTCACGCAATCCAGGACGAAAGCTCTGCTTGGCCTGACGAAGGAAGGTTTCAGCTGCAAAGGTAAAGCCATGCCCATCACTGCCCTTCGATTGAAACATAACTGTCTTGACTCGGCTTCAGGCGTTGCTATCTGGATGATGGAGACAGGCCTTGAAGTCTGTCGCTAATCTGACATCTGTGACATTGAAACGCCCAATGTTGTTGCCTCGGGATCCGGCTGTGGATCAGACCACTCGAGATCAATTCCAACGTAGGCTGGCGCAGCCTGTCCATTCTCGTAACTGACAGAGCGAATGTGACGCAGTCCTTCACCAGAGCCCAACCCTTCCACAAGATGGAGGCAAAGCGGGTGACATCGAGATTTCTGACGTCGGCCTGCTGAAGGAAGGTGAGCACCTCGCAAGAACGAGAAGACATATGCAGACATATCCATCGTCTCCGCCCTTCGCACGTACACTAAAAGCTCGGCGTCGCGAAATGTCGATCGGCTTCTGGGTCCGGCGCGTGGGACAAGCCCTGTGCGGAGTCTACAAAGTGGATGGCATCGAGCGGGAGCTCGGCAAGTGGACTCGGCAAGCCCTGGCAGGGATTCGAGACTTCAGCCAGGAAATGCTTCTTGCGTGTTGCGTGCGTGCGTGCGTGC